CTTTTCTGCTAACCTTTTTTTCTTTGTCCAGTCAGCTGTGGTGTTCGTTCACAAGGAGTTAAGAGTCAGCAAAGAAAGAAAAGGTGGTATGGTTCAGTGGTCTTAAGAGAAATCATTCTTTGTACTGGTGAAGGATACTCGTTCCATCCCAGTTTACACAATCGCCTTTGTGTACTCTTATCCCCTTACAGGGTGAGGCGAGCAGGAGGACAATATTTACTGCTGGTATCCTCGTTGAGTTCTGTGGTATATACTACATGTTTCAGACATCCCACGCTTCACTGTGAACATGCTAGGGATGCAGTAATCTAACAAGACTACAGGGTCCACATTACAGCCATGCTGGCAGCTCTGTGAGTCTGCACGTGGGCAGAGCGGTCACTGAATATTAGCATTAGCGCTCTAACACACTGACAGTTAGATATGCTCAATATATGTGCGTAGCGTTTTAGCATAATTAAGCAGAGGGATTCATGCTGTTACCTGTGAAAATTCTTCCCGACCTAGTATTAACTGTTCATCCTGCCCTGCGTGACTTTCACCCACAGGCTGTTTGAATTATTATGTAATAACCCTAACCCCTAGGTCTAATCCCACGCTTTAACTACGGCCGTCTGGCCTGTGTAGAGATAGAGGTTAGAGGTCAAGGGTCAGCGATCTGAACAGGAAAGGCTATTCACGCAGAACAGCACATCGTAAACAAACCATTACACACCATCTGCAGGGGCGTCAAATCCCGGAGCAGCGCGTGTGTCTTTGCTTGTTTGTGTAGGTGTGCGTGTTGGTGTCTCTGTGATCACACCCACAGACACGCAAGTGAGGATCAACACAGCCAGACGGGGACAGAGAGGTGACAGAAAGTGACCATCTGGTAGCCAGTGAGGCATCAAATTACCTTCTGAAAGGTTACATTAGCATTATGCATATACTGTGTGTGCCATAATGACGCTTTTAAATAGTTCCATTATCGAACAATTATCTGCAACCCAGCAGAGTTACAATCTGAGGAAAAACAATTTGTGGTCTAGATGAAATATTTAGACAGGAAGGACGGCCATGAAATTTTCCACAGATGATTTGATGAACCCTGTAAACATCACCGATAACCAAATCTATCTACAAAGGGCTAGCAGCAGGTCACACTTTACTCTTACCTTTATTAAATGTCTTATCATCTGGAGGACAGATTAGCACATTCATGATGAATCCTGTTGTTTTGAACATGGAGTGTTTTCCTCTAATACCGCAATCAGATTGATTTCTGTGGTTTTGAGAAAAATGTGTCACCCACTAGAGCCAGCAGCTTTGTGTGGCTGGATACATAATTCTGGTGCGCATATTTATGTCTCCCTTGGGGTAATTTTTAATCACTCTGGTGATTCCCTTGATGTTTTGTCTGGTGTATAACAAGTAAAAATTCCTATTTATGTACTCAGGTTGACTAAATGCTACAACACTAAATTATTTCCCATCTGTTTCAGCTTTGCTTTGCATCAGGCTCTTTGTCTTTTCCTCTCCGCACATCAGCAAATATGAGCGTCTTAAACTGAGATGCATTACACAGCAAACTTTATGCTTTCTTAGGGTTGGCATGCTGGTAGCATTTAGCCCCGAGCACCACTAAACCTCACAGAGCTTCTAACATTGTTGCTACACATACCTTTACAACATCTAAATGGCCAACCTCTTAATTATGCGATTTTCTTCCTTTAACCATTGAGCTTTGAAAAGACTCTCATGTCTTCATTCATGCTTGTTCTTTTTTCCCTCTTCACCCCTGCTCATTCACAGAGCTTTCTGCTTAATTACATCTACAGCAGAGTTGTTATATAAACAAGCACCTTTTTCCTCTTGCCAAATCTTTGTCTCTTTAGCTGCCACTTTTGTTTTCCATCAACCCTTCAGTTTTTCATCATCTTCCTCACCGGGATCCTTTGTACCTAACCTTTTAAAAATATAATCACATTTTTTGTTACTTTTCTCAATTCTTGCAGTTCCCCTTCAAAGTTTCCTCTCCTCTCGTCCTCCACCCACACCTTTCACCCTGTCAACACATATCTGCTCCTTTTGTCTCTGTTCCTCTTTTCTGCTGTTTTCCTCAAGATTCTCCCTGTTTCCTCTGACGGCTCCGCTTCCCGTCTGTGTCTTTGCTTGATGCTCAGCATGCCCTGCATCCCTCTCGCCTAACCACCCTTCCTTCATCTTCGTTCTTTCTTCTGTCCGTGCTGCCATCATCACAGGCAGTCAGAAATGCCCACTGGTCTAACACCTGCCGCTCTGAACACACAGCGCGTGTGAGCTTACGAGGTTGTGTTTGTCCACGCCTCTGAGTATTTATGAAAGATCATGATAAGAAAATGTCGATTCGTTATGGCATGTGTGTATGTCTGTGTTGTTAAGTGTTGAACTCAGTCTGTTTTTTGTACCGTACTGGCCTGACGTAGAGCCAGACTTCTGGATTAGACGTGGATCTAGGCTGCTTGAATTCTATTCTGAGATCCCCAGAAGGAAAAGCCTGTTAAATTAGCAGCTATAAATACAGGACTTCCTCCCAGCAGGTCACTCTAAGATCTACTGCACCGACCTGGACAATTTCTTTGCTCCCTATGCATGTGTGAGTGTGTGTTTTTATGGGAGTGTATGCATTCTTGAGAGCTGTCCAGGCAAGCTTACGTCTAGTGCTGCATGTGTGGTTTGTGGCATTACTGCTAACAAGGACACTGGCCTTTCACTCTTTAAGAGTCACTCCAAATTTCTTTTTTCCTTTTTTTTTGCTTTACCCATATAACATAAAAAAGATGCAGTAATTTTATCACTAACTTACTCATTGCCTGCATTCACATATAACCTGTAACCTATGATAAATAAGTGAAATGTCTACATTAGGCATCTCAAGCATCAAGAACACTTGGTATCATGGAAAGTTTGGCATAAAATGTCACATTTTACTGCAAATTCTTTTGTTTTTCACATGCATTTTAATGCCAAGTATAGTATTGTGCAAATGTCTTGAGCCACTCCCTTTTTAAAGTGGTCCTGGGCAATAGTTCCTTCAGCTATTTGTTTATTTTCAATCAATTTTCAGTGTTAATATTTTGTTATATCTTTTCATGGGACAACACTGAAGATATGTAAAGTAGTCAGTGTACCGCTTGTATAACAGTGTAAATTTGCTGTCCCCTCTAAATAACTCAACACGCAGCCGTTATTGCCTAAACCGCTGCAAAGTAAATGCTCATGAAACAGTGCTTGACCTTGAAAATTAAAATTTCCTCTTGTACCTCATAGTCATCCAGTTGATAACTGTTATGTTTATACTGTTGTTATAATTTGATCACCTTGATTTTTCAAGAGTGCTGTAATTGTTTTTGGGGCAGTAAAAGCGTTCATTTAATGATGGAGGCTATTTGTTTAGCCACGTTGTGTTTAACAGCTGCAGTGTAGATTGTGCATGACTCTAGAGTGATCATTATCTCACTGCTGTGCCTGATAGTTCTTCTGTTAGAGTGTTTCTGTGGAGAAATCTCACATTCATCCCTTTTTAATGTGATATCCTGTTACTGTAGCAAGTAAGGAGCAAGTACTGCTGGAGCGCTTATGATAGACAGTGTTTTTGGTGGTTTCTTCTAGGCAAGGAGTTATTTAATTCATGTATGATTTATAATTTCTAGTATAGCTTTTACCACCATGCAGAAACAATGTGGTCATATCCTAAGAAGCATTTCTTTCAGTGCAGCGGTTAATCACACAAAACCTCAGGTTGTAGTGCAGTCCAGCGAGAATCTGCGTCCAAATGTAAACTTTCCCATTGAAATCAAATTCACTGGCTCTCTGCTGAACAAAAGTGACTTATTCTTAAAGAGAGAGAGAGAGCCAGGTAGAAAGGAGAAAGAGCATGTGGAGGACAAGAAAGAAAAGCCGATTGAGGACGGTGGAGTGGAACGGATGGGGTCTAAGAGGAGGTGAATTATAAAAGCTTAAATGAAAAGAATAAAAAATTCATAGGAATCAGACAGAGAGAGAAGATAAATGAGTAATATTGGAGTAGCGGAGAAAGGACGAGGCATTTATCAGGCAGAGAGCGCTCGGAGCATTAGAGGTTATATTTGAGGACAGCGGATTGTTGTTAATGTATCGCCGGAGATGGCGAGCAGACACGCTCTCACACACGTGCTTCAGCAGTCAGGGAGAGGTTGAACACCATCTGCTCAACAATAAAAATAATAATGATAATAACAGATTGTTTTCAGTTTAAAGATAACCTTACTGTTCTATACTTCTTAACTGGAATTTACACAAATGCTTTTGCAGGCCGAGTGGATTAGCATGAACCCTTAAGCTTAGTCAAACTTTTCTTTTCCTTGAGCTTCGTTTGATTCCTGCGTTTATTTTTGTGTTTGTGAATACTTGTGAGTACTGTATCTACATTGTGTTTTCATTTCTGAACAAAGTTAAAGTTTGGGGGTTTATTTTGTTTTCGTTTTCTTACTACACCCATGTGACAGGTTTCTTAAAGCACATTGGCTAGATTTAGTTTGATAGCGCAGTGCTGTTTTTTCTTTAGGAAATCTGTTTGAAATCAGTTTAAAATTGCAAAGTACGCATGTGCACATTTGAGTATCTGGGGGTATCTTCGGGACACAGACTTTCAGCATTTGACGGCTTCATTCTTTATCTCCCAACTTGAGAGTTACCGCTCCGTCTGTGTGAGTGTATGCCAAGTGACTTTGCACTAAATGATTTAACATGGACGTGTCTGCTCAGCAGGGGTGTGGGCTCATTGTTAAGAGGGCTAAAGGCCATGCACACACATACACAAACTAATGCAAACAGACTCTTTGCTTGAAGTTGTCATTTCTAACCCTTTTTGTGCCTTTATTTCTCCCAAAACATCATTTTTTAAAATGTCTATCAGTGAGAAGTGAATCTATTGTGTACCTCACTTTCAAATGGGTCTTCATTACTCATAAATGCCTGTTGTCCCGCTCTCATCTTTGCAGGACAGCGACATTCAGAAGAAGATTGATCATGAGATCCGAATGCGTGATGGAGCCTGCAAGCTGCTGGCTGCCTGCTCCCAAAAAGACCAGGCTTTGGAAGCGGCAAAGAGTCTACAGACATGCAGCACCCGTATCATGGCCTACATGTCAGAACTGCAGAGGATGAAGGAGGCTCAGGTCATGCAGAAAGTCACACGCAGATCATCAGATGCAGGGCCGATGGACGACAGGCTCCCATGTAAAGGAAAAGTCGCCATCTCAGGTGAGAAATAGACAAAAGCGTTTATTTCTGAGAGAAAAGTGATTGGAGAAGGTTCAGGGTGGAAATTTTCCCAGCATTTTGGAAGATTTTGAGAAAGCTTTTAAAGTTATTTTATCATTTAAATGTGGCACTGTTGTTGCCAAGAGACTGTGACCAGCAGTAAAAGGAGGAAATGGATCAAATTTAAGCTTCCTCTTATTGCTGTAATTTAATGCCGAGCTGCTCTCATCAGCCTTTAATAGCGGATGTTTCATTTTTAAATTACTTTGTACTTTCTGACTTGCTGCTGTCCACCACATCGATGAAAAATCTCTCTGGAGATCAAGACAGTCAGATCAAATTTTACTGTCATCTTGTCTACTTGTAGAATGCAATGTAAGTAAACAAAGACATTTTGAAAAGCATTATTGTAATGATTTACACATTCACCCAGCAAGCGAATGATCCGTGATTCAGTCACGGGATGTGGCACAAATGCCTTTGCAGTTGCATCAGGAAGGGTAAAAATCTGCCAAATTAAGCATGCGGTGCTACCTGCTATGGTGACGCTTTGTGAATAAGGGAGCAGCCAAAAGAAGCTTATTGAGATTCTTAAGAATAAAAATCCTCCATATTTTTACTCTTAAACTCTGTGACAATAAATTGCATTATTCCCAGTAAACCGGGGCTTCATGCAGCCCCTCGGTTCATCAGTTCAGTTCTGTCTGGAACAAGTTATTTTAGCTCCTGTCGCTTTAAGGCTCCCTGCCATAAAATTCCACATTATTCCAACTGGCAGTCCCTCATAAATGGAAGATTTGAACAGCAGGCGAACTTTCTGTGCACATTTGGAGCTGTGAGATGACCGCATTAGCGACATCCTCTTTCTTTTAATTCATTTAGACCCAAAAACTTGTCTGCAGCTGAGCGCTTAGTGCAACCTGAAGTTTGCACTGGTGATTGGTGCCTTGTTTGCGACTTGGTTAATATGAGCATCCGTTGTTATTGCAGGATATTTACAGTCATGTGGCAAAGAAACTCCCATGATTCAGTAGCTTGTGGAATCACTTTTAGCAATCCTATTCTGTGTTATACAGCTATGTGTTTTTCTCCTGACAACACTTCCAAATGAGCTATACCTGTTCAGTCTTTCTCAAATTTTAAGGTTATGAACTTTGACATTTAAGATGTTAACTGTGGCCTGTAGAGTCTGAGATGCAGCTCTTAGGTATTTTCCAGTTTCTGTCATCATTGCATACTCTGACCTTGGGGTGAATTTGCTGGGACGTGCAGTCCTGGGAAGACAGTGGTTGTGTGTTAGCACACACCCGAAAGCTCCAGACCTGCAAACTGTCTAAACTTCTGTTTTCATAGAGGCATCTACACTTGCTGATGGTTAACTAATCAAGTGCATTTGATTTGCAGCACCTGACTGCTACTTATCCTCCTAATTCCTATGACATCAGTATGGCTATACTTTATTTTTCACGGGGCTATTGAGGGTCCTGTGAAAGCTTTCTTTTTCACATGACTATAAAGAAAGGCACAATTGGTCCTCTGTTGTCTAATCTTCAGCCTGTTGTCTTTACAGATCTTCGGATCCCTCTCATGTGGAAAGACACGGAGTACTTCAAGAACAAAGGAGGTGAGAAGTCGTGTGCGTGTGCGTGTGTGTGTGTGTGTGTGTGTGTGTGAAGAAAGTCATTGATGACTTATGAATGATTTATACTTCCAGTATTTATTAATAATCAGCTTCTGTGGAAAGTAGCCCTCGGTTGCTTCCGCGGTTGTATCTGAAATCCTTGAAATAATGGGGCGGGGAGATGTGAGATTCATTGAGACTCTAGAATGAAAATGACCTTTTATTTCTCGCTTCCGGGTGAAAACGCTTACATGGACGGATTGCGGTGTGACATGTTCTCTGCTCTGTACCCATTTTTACACCCCAGACTCCAGACAGTGTGGCAAAAATCCATCTGTACAAAGTTGCCCTTTCTCACATCCAGCACACAACAGGAGGCTCTGTGTCAGATGAATTCTCAGCACTAGAAATATGCTATTTGCTGCTTTACTCAGTGGGTTGGGTATGGACCACACACTCACTCACTGTGATTTCTCTAGTCAGTGATCTACCCAGTTCTCACATGGGCTCAATCAGACATTAATTACTAGACTACTTACTGGGGGAGTTCACACAGTGAAGGCTGTTTAATTTCCAATTCAACTGATTCATTTAATATTGCCTAGAAACATTCAGGGGTGCAATGCATGTGCAAAAACGACTTTAGTCGCAGCTGTTAGAGATGATCTTCACAGTCATTGGGAGCTTTTTTGTTTTTTTTAGCTTTATCTCTCTACTTTACTCCTGGAAGCACAACTTGACCCACTGTCCTGTCTGGATTGCTTTGCCTCCTGGCTATTACAAAGAATCACGAAGGCAATGAAGCGCTTCATTCTTAGTAGTGATGGGAGAACTGTAAGCCAAAAACAAATAAAATCTGTGGTGCGTTTAAGGATCCACTCTAGTTTTCTGTCTTATGGAATATTCCTGTGAACCTGCTCGTATTAAATTGTCTTTGTGATAAAATTCAATAGAGCGCTGAGAATCTAACAATGGAAATTTTTTTATATTGGCCATTTTCTATCCCACCTGCTCTAGATAAATTTAATGTGTGTTAACCTCCATACCGTCATTATAATAGTCTCAGTGCTCAGCCTCTCCCTTGGCAACTCGAATGAATTAATCTGCATGACCTGTGCATGGAAATGAACTCTTGAGACAGGTAGTAGTAGTCTCTTAACAAAGCTTAATGAGGCTGTAAGTCAAGGTCATTAAGCACACAGAGACATAAACTGAGGCAAGGAGGAGCAAAGTGTGTTCCTTTCTCATCTGTCCAGTCAGATTTTAGTGAGGAGTGTTGATTTCATACTTGGAATAGTAATTGCGCAATGAAGTGTGGGACATTAGGTGTCAATGTGCCGTTTACATGGAAGCGCGAGTAGAACTTACCAGTGCCAGTTATAAAGTGTTTTATGAGGAAGAAATACAAGATTATCCCCAATATGAGGTTGTGGGGTGAAGGTGCGATCATAGGGTTCTGGGAATCTTGGGAAATTCAAATTTTCCAATCTTTTCTTTAATGTCAAGTCCTTGCTCACCTCTAGACCAATTTCAGTGCTGCTGCTATTTTTAAATTGTTTCGTGTAAGCTCGTTTTGTTCCCAGAGGCATTGGTGCCTCTTCGGTGCTCACTGGATCTCCTCTAGTGTGTAAGAGCGGCAACCCATCCACTTTTATTTTTGAAACGTGGACATCGCTCAGACGCCTCAATGGACACAGCCCTTAGGAATTTGACAAAAAAAACCCCACTCATATGCTACTCTTCTTTTCTTACAGAAAACTACTGTTTAGTCTCGCTGACCTTAGGCAATCATTCAAAACAACAAACTGTTCCGTCTCAAAATAGCGGCAACACTGAAATCATTATATCAGTGTACAAGAAGGTGACCTTTAAGTGGAGATTGGTCAAATTTTGATTTTTATGGGTAGATTCCTGGAACTTTCTAATCAAACTGCTCGAGAAGAAGAGATTAGGCCTGTCTGCCCCAACTCTGTCTGTCTGTTGTAGTTTCTTTCATAATTTCTCACTGGTGTTATGGAAATGATGGTTTTCTTAGACACAAAGATTTCAGGTTTTATCTATAATCACAGTGAAACCTGTCCTAAAATATAATCTTCACATACACAAAGATTCCTGTAGTTTAGTTTCAAAATACTGTTCACTATTTCCCAGGAATTCTTAGCACAGCTGACCATTAAACTGAAACCAACAGTTTAATGTTTGCTGCATTGCCATTTTGGCTCTGATTTTTAAAGTGATGCAAGTAAATGAAAGCTGCTGAAGTGTTTCAAAAATGCACTGTTATGTAGAAGTGTTTCCTCTTCTTCTCTTCTGACTTTCTACATTTTCATTTGTAGAGCTTCATCGATGTGCGGTGTTCTGCCTGTTGCAGCTGGGAGAAGAAATCTTTGATACAGACATGGTGATAGTAGACCGGACACTCACCGATATTTGCTTTGACAACACTATCGTATTGTAAGTCACCTGTCAGTCCTATAACCGAACAGCCATATAATCTGTGACCATCACAGAAGACTGTAGTAAAACCAGTAGTTTAATATTGTATTAATATGGTTTTGTAATGTTGTACATCCAAAGTTGAACAATTAGTAAATACACTGTTTGATACACTGTAAGTACCAATGAGAGGGCGATCTATAACACCTGATTGTTAAGCCAATTTTATGTTCGGTATTTAGAATTCAAATAAATTTAGTTGGCGAGTAACTGAAAGTGCAATCCAGTACAAACTACAATCGTTTTGCCAGTTCAGTTTTATTTATGTAGTGTCAAATCACAATAACAGTTGCTTCATATTGTAGGATTATCCTACAATACCCTAGAGACCTAAAGACCCTACAATAATACAGAGAAAACCCCAATAATCAGATCTCCCCCTACGAGCAAGCACTTGGCAACGGTGGGAAGGAAAAACTGCCTTTTAACATGAAGAAACCTCCAGCAGAACCAGGCTCATGAATACTGTACAACATTTTTGCCCAAAATATTATACAAGAGAGGTATAAAAGAGCACACATGAAGCACATAGGTATGTGAAAGTAAGCACTGTACTCGAGTGGATGCACTTAGTTAGTCTTTTAAAATGACCGTTAAAGAGATGGTGATGATGAGCATTTTCTCTTGCAGTAGTGAAGCCAGCCCGGGTTTCGAGCTACGGGTTGAGTTGTATAGCTGCTGCTCAGAGGACGACTATTCTGCAGGCAGCACACCAAGGAAACTGGCCAGCAAGCTGAGCTCTTCACTGGGTCGATCAGCTGGGAAGAAACTCCGGGCAGCCATGGAGCCTGGACCGTGTAGTCCCGTAAGCAACGGAGGGGGAGCCCCTCTCCTGCTGCCAGTTCCCTCTGTACCGTAAGTTTAGCTTCATATAATATCTATCGTTTTTATACAAAAACAGAAAATGGATTGGAAATAACTTGTCATTTCAGAGAGCAGATATTTATTGAGACCATCGCTCACTGCAAACATGCATACTCAAACACCAAATTAAATTCTTCTCTTCACTCTTGTGTGTTGACAGGGGCCCGAAGTACCACCTCTTAGCCCACACCACACTGTCACTGTCACACGTCCAGGACAGCTTTCGCACGCATGACCTCATCATTTCAGGCAACGGTGAGTGGCAGCCACCATCAATCTGTGTCCTCGCCATCTTTCTGCTTCCTCTGCCAAATCGGCCATCTGTCTATTTTTCGTCTTTCTCGTCACCGCCTCACTTCTTCGCCCGTCATTCTGATCATTTCCTTTACACCAGCATATGGCGCAGCTATGCCTCCTCCTCTTTTCCTCCTCTGTCCTCCCACTTTCTCTGACAGGCAGCCATTGTCAAGGTCACAGTAATAAAGGCTGCGCTAGTGAGGTGACTGCTGTGTAAAGCTGTAATGATGCTGGATAACAAGGGTCCAGACCCTAACACAGACAGGCCTCTAGTGTTTTATTCATTGGCCCTGCAGCCTGCTGTAAAGTTTCACTGCCAAACTGCATGACACTCCCTGCAGCTGCCATCCTTTTATACCCCAGTGTGTGCTAAAGGGGGGACGGTGTGACGTGAGGATGCAGTGTGTGTCGGTTTGTGTCTGTGGATGCATGTTTCTGTGTGGAATTTTAATGGCATGGGAATATTTTTATTTATTTATAGTGTTTATTTTTTCCCCATCCATCTATTCCCTCCCTGCAGAAGAGTGTTCATACTGGCTGCCACTCTATGGTAGTATGTGTTGCCGCCTCGCAGCTCAGCCTCACTGTATGACCCAACAGATGATGAGCGGGTGCTTGAAAGTTAAGGTAAGCTGGCAAGCCTGCAAATGTGCGTTGCTGCAAACTATTCCTCCAGGGGTTGTGCTAGATTTTTTGGCATATATCCACACTTTTTATTCTTTTTCTCCCCTACCACATTCCTGTTCTCTCAATCTCATGTTGTCGTCTCTCTTTGTGTGCGTATTTTTTGCTCCTTTTTTCCATTTTTTCTTTACCTAGCAGCAGTGTGGAGGTGACCCTCAGAGTTGGACAAAAGTTCACGCCGTTCTCAAAGGAACAAACCTTTTCTGCTACTACCGGCAAGAAGATGTGGAGGCTAACGTTGAGCCAGCTTTCACTATTGGCATCAACAAGGTCAGCAAAGAAATCTGAAAGGCAGTATATTATCTCTTTGAGCTCGATCCAGCCTTAGAGAAGCAGTAGCTGCATATTTTTGGTAACACCTTAGGCATCAGAATAGATGGTAAGAAAACAAGCTTGTGGATTACCACACGTTTAAATAACAAGCTCACTGGTAGACTCTGAGCCTAAAGAGAAAATTTAGCTCTTTTCTTTGCAGCGGTTCTCAAGGTTTATTTTAAAAAGCCACCTAGAGCTGTCAGAATCGAGCTCCACTGAGTTCATGAGTACCAAACTGCGGTTGTTACCTTTTGAGGTGTGACTATAGAAACGTTCATCAGGCCTGTAAAGGCACATTTCTACTGCTCAAAGCTTTGTATACACAGGAAGACCCCTCTATCCAATTGGAAGTCATAATTCTCTCTTGCCATCATTTTTCCCTGCATCAAATAAAGATCAGTCAGCTGGCCAGTCACGCTCTGAATCATCTCATTTCCTGTGTCTTTAAGAGTCGATTCCTAGACTGCTTCACAATCTTTCTGTAGTGACGCACTCGGTCTTTTGTGTCCTCTGACCTTGAGCATGCTGATAACCTAAAGCCAAGTCAATCAGATCAGGTCTGTATAATCTTTTGTGCGGCTCACATTAGAGGAGACAGAAAGAGGGAGCGCAGCATGGCAAAGGCGTAAACAGGACAACACTGCCATCTAGTGGTCATAGCCATACCTAGCCATATTTAGAGTACAGCAAGTTATGGGAATTGGGAGTCAGAATCCTTTTGTTGGATAATTGCTGGAGGGAAATGGTTTGGAAGAGCACTAATTGGTGACTTTATTAATGAAGGCTTATTTTCAGTGGAGACTTATTCATTGAACCACACTGTACTTCCATTCGTTCCCTGTTGTAGACATTTTTGCGGTAGATGATTGTATTCTTTGCCACTCCTGTGTTTCAGGAGACCAGAATACGTGCATCAGAGAAAGACCCTCTCAGTAAAGTTCAGAATATCTGCATCAGCAACCATTACGGAGGGGAGGAGGTTACGCACACTGTGACCACAGACAGCCGCGAGGAGACACACCGCTGGATGGAAGCCTTTTGGCAACATTTCTACGATATGAGTAGGTCCTTATGTGTCATTTAAACCCGCAACATGTGGTCGTTTAACATATGTTTTAAAGGACAGCATATAGTGCCGTATATTCTCCATCTGCTGCTTGATTTGTTGATGGTGACGTTTGCCTCCAATGTACAGGCCAGTGGAAACAATGCTGTGATGACTTAATGAAAATTGAACTTCCATCTCCGCGAAAACCAGCTCCTATCACACCGAAACAAGGCTCTTTGTATCATGAAATGGGTAAGAATTCTCCTTGTGTCAAGGTGTTTTTTGGTCACTTATAACCTAATGTGAAAAATAAAGCACTGTGCCTGCATTGCATGTGGCTGTGTTGAATTTCTGTTTCTTGAGTGCACGTGCATCAAAGATGCTGTCAATTACGTTTTCCTATCCGATTTCTCAAACTCACTCTCTGCTTCACTTCTCTGTGCTCTAAATAGAAGGGTTCTTATCTCTGACGTGCTGACTAACTTGTCTTCTGTTTCTCTATTCCTCTTTTTCCTTTTCACGTTCCTTTGTATGTCATATCTATCCTTCCTCGCCATTTCCTGTTCCCCTATTTCCCTTATTTCCGTGTGAAATAACGTAAAATTAATTTCATCACGCTTTTCATAAACTTTCACCGTTCATTGTAATGGTTGAATTATCTTGATGCATGAATGAAATCTTTCTTTGTTTTCCCATCACTCCTCTTTGAATGAGCGTGTATCCTTTTCCTTTTTTTGTCATGTCCATTAAAATTGCCAAACTACCAACTTTTCCCTCATCCCCGTCTCTGCTCTATCCCAACTCTCTCACCAACTTCCCTGTTGATTTTCCTAACCCTGGCAGCTCCTCTTGCCACACCCTCCTGTGAGGGTCTTCTGCTGCAGGATAACGCTGTGTCTGCTGAGATTCGTGCTCTGCTCTCATCCTATTACAACGACAGGTGAAGTAACAGGACTAGGACTCAACATGAATTGGTTTGTGGTAAATGTTGCAATCCCAAGAAGCTGGACTCTGCATTCTGAATAGAATTATGCAGTATTGTAATCTGCATGAATTGGAAAGATGTCATGAATACACTCAAAATGTTAAAAATATCCTACAGTAATTGCTATCTTTAGCACTTGTTCTAAAGAAAAAACCCTGCAATTTAGATTTAATCCCAGGAAAAACTGATCAGTCTGTAAAACTGGTCTCAGGTTTACTCCATGGCGGCATACTAATAAGATTTGCCGTTTTTCTCTTGCAGTTATTGAGTCATCTGATGACCTCAGCAGCACCGTGTCAGACATCCTGGCTCGGAGAATGCAGGAGCTGGAGCTCCGTAGCCAGCTAGGCACCTCTCCCACCTGGATGTCTGCGTTTGAGGAGAGCAATGCCAGATGTACTGGCCGCTCTCGTCACTGTACTCGCATGTCTGGCCACAGCCCCTGCACCCCTCATCGACTGCCTCGGAGTCCTGTGAGTCCTCACCGCTGCCCACAGCTCGGCCTGCTGTCTTCAGACGCAAGTCTGACCTCAGATAGCGACAGCCACTGTAGCACCAGTCCCTGCTCTCACCACCACGGCTGGCCTGAACCTACTTCCAGCTACTCTCTTTTGTCATCTTCCCCCTCGCGTCTGAGGCCACGCACTCTTTCTTTGGATGCTAAGCTCAGCACCCTTCGAGGGAGAGGGTACGGAGGTGGAGGGACCTTCCAGTGTTCCTGCCAGCCGCCTCCCTCGTCCCTGCTTGCTCCTCTCCCCATCTCCAGTCGCTCCCCCCGGTCAAAGCACAGCACACAAACCACGCTATCGTGCTCCAGCTCCACCTCAAGCAACAGCTCCAGCAACAGTGAGGGCAGCCACAGCCCAGAGACATCAGAGGGAGGCCCCTTCTCTAGGCCCTCCCCAGCTCGACGCAGCCTAAGAAACCTCAGGGCCAGACTTGATCCTCGCAACTGGCTCCAGAGTCAGGTGTAAACTTCATTTCTGACAGTGTTTTTTTTGGTTTTTTTTGCTTGCCTAAAGGCAACAGTGCTTATTAAACCATGGTTTAATTAGCTTAACACATGAACCAAACTCAGGCAATCTGCGATGCCACATGCACAGCCCTGAGAAGGATTCCTCCAGCCTGCCTCTTGGTGGAGGACGAGCCATGGAAGACCCTTCTTGGGCGAACTGGAATGTCTTCTAACACAAAAGACATGTGACAATCACTGCAGGAGTCTCTGACATTTGCTTGGTTGCCACAGTGTTTCAAAACAGTCCAAAAGTATTTGGGAGGTACTCTGCTTGCTTTGAGAATTGATGGTAATGCTGCTTGGAAGAAGTTGATGCTAACAGATAAGGGCATGCTCAAATTCATGCCACACTAGGTCTACTTTCTGTCTTTGAAAATCTGATTTTGAAACTGGAAAAAATAAAAACAAAGTAAAAAAAAAACACACACACATTTTGAGTGGCCAGTGATCCTGGCCACTCAAACATGTCTGTTAATGCACTAGTCGTATTTTGACTGGATGTTTCCTGTTATGTTCAAAAAGTTTGCAGTGTTTGCAGTATAGAAGCCAGTTAGCATGAGGTAATATGAACACACCAGTCAAGATTTTTCCAATATTAGAGACTGCTATGTGTAGAGGTAAGGGTTATTTGTCGCCTGTACTGTGATACTTGTTTCAGTCTACTTATTATTCATGCTATTTGTGGGGTCTCCCAGAACGACTATGCACCATTTTTGTTTTCATGCATGTTTTGACTTGCAGTTAAAATATTTCTTTGTCAGATCATTTCAAATGACTCTGCAAGTGCTCATACTTACTGTACTAGTTACGACTGTGATCTCTTCAGGGTAAAAAATCTGTGCTCTCCTCTTATCTGCACACTATTGACAGGCTGCCATCAGACTAAGTAATAGATTTGTATGCACACAGTGCAACTCCTAAGCAAACTGATTATAACCAAAGCTCAATTATTATTGAAAACCCAAGCCATACTAATCTGCAGCATTGTTTGTTTTCAGTTTCCAATCCTGCCGTCCAGCGATTTATTATCACGCAACAAAGAAAGAAAACTGATTTAATCTTGGCGAAATTCTAAAAAAACATTCTAAAAAAAAAAGTGTGCTTACATGAACTCTAGTCAGTCACCTTTTTAATGATTTCTTAACACTGCCGCCAACTTCTTGTTACATTTTTGCTAGTTAGACAGTCAGTGCAGTTACTTCTTCTTACAGAAAACCTTATAGGAGGGTTGGCGTTGTCAGTGCAGTAAAGCTTTGCCTCTTTTTTTCCCCGTTTCCGTGTTTATTGTGGACTCTGGAAGCCGTTGCCCTCTTGGGGACTCAGAACTCGAATCATTTTTACTAAGATCTGTCGTACGCTGAACGACAGCATTTGTTACTGTAAATTAATTTTTATAAGTTAACAAATAAACCTCCTGTATTTGTTTCTTTTCTTTTTTTTGTTACATTACTGAATTTGTTATAAATGCAGCTGTGTTGATATTTGATGATCATAATATTAGATAATGTGCAGATCTTTTAACTGTCACAGATAACATTGAATGTTATAACCTTGGCGGAGTTTCCCGTGTTGGCAGGCTTCGTGTTCTGCATGCATGCCATCCTCGGAGGTGAACTGAAAACGAGAGGTGTGGAAATCTCGTGTTTAAATAATATAACATTAAATAAATGTTTTATGAATTAAAAATTGTCTTTTCTTATGTATCCAAATTAACATGTTCTGTGTATATTTTTATGGTGAAATTCTTTAGTAACTTAAAAATAAAATCTGATATTTCTGTTAGAAGGTTAAATCACGCTACTTTTCTTAATTTTGTACACTAAAAGGCCCCCAAATTAAACCCTTTCCATGCATTGAGAGAGGTTTCCATCAGATCAGAAAATGACTTTAAGTTCTCTATCCTTTGAACATGTGTTGGATCATATTCCATCCACTTCTGTTCTGCCCTTTTTTCCCTCTCTTGCAACAAATCCCATTTGAGTTCCCCCTGCAGAAGCAAATCCACTTAGAAGCCGCCGCAATCTGTGCTGCAAAAGACTCAAAAAGTAGGTAGAACAGAGACTTTTATTGTCTGTGTTTCGATAGCAAAGCCGCAGATTAGTCAATAGTACAAAGCACAATTACAAACATCGGAGGTAGTCGACACTGAGTCTTCACTGAGCATTGTAATATGCATAGAGAACACTATGGCCATAATGACTTTGTTTCAAATGTCTCAGAGGAAAACCCAAAGCGCCCTGTTCTGTTTGTAGTGCAGAGTTGTGCTATTGTTGTGCTATTGTAACTTCACGTATGCTTAAAGTATAAAAATCAAACACTGAATTATATTAACACCGACATATACATATTCATCAGCATATAAGACCAGTAAATATTTTTATAATAGGCTTCATATGGTGCTGATTATTCACTTCTGTAACCCAGTAGGGACATTTCACACAAAGTTTGGCAATTACTTGATTTTCAGCTGGATTACATAAGTAAATGGACAGCATTACGTTAAGTTGCAGATAAAACAGAGGTAACCCCGCCCCCAGTCTTCCATGTCCTCCATACTAAAACATCTCTCTTTGTGCACTTGCTTCCTGCAGCTCAATGACCCACTCTCATTAGCAGGCACACCGTGGGTTGCACACCCGCAGAGCCACCCCAGCCAGACTCCTCCAGGCAAACGTGGAGAACTTTGCAGGGCATGTTTCAGCCCTGCTGATGTACGTGGAGGCAAGCCGATGGAGCCGCTTCGCACCGAATGCGTTGTAGTGCCCTGGGAGGACTTGGTCGACCTGTTAAATCAATTTTAAAGCCAATAAATATGTATTTTATTTAACAAATAATGTTTAGTACATGTTAAATTATATTGTTTTAAGTATTAGCACAGAAAACACAGCTTGTATATGTAGGCTAATAGATACTGGTATGCCAAATTTCAGACATTTTCATTATAAATCTATGAAATGTTGATATACGGTGCTTTGGGATAAATACCCCTGGAAAAAAAGTGGAACTGTGTACTGAAATTGTGAGGCTGCTCTCTAGTGGGCCTTAGAGTTACCTGTTCGCTGTCCACCAGCCCAACCAGGCGCTCACAGCTGCTTATGTAGTCACTGACATGGCTGTAGGGCAGCCAGTCAATCATTGCGCCGTCATACACAACGTCGCCACTGAAAAGCAACTTATTGTCCCGGTCATGAAGGCAAATGCTTCCCCGAGAGTGTCCGGGCATGTGAAGCACAGTCAGCTGTCTATCACCAAGATTGATGACATCACCTAAGCAGGAGAAAGAGAGGTTGAGAAGGCATTAGGTTTTGATAATTATTCACACATACAAACATGGCATGAACCGTAATCACCGGCGACTATGCATTTAAAATCTTAGACTGTCATGTCACTGAGTCACACAGATTCTGTGACATTCAGTATATCATCGATTTGATCGAGGCCAGTTATGAGTTGCACTGGCAAAAAGGGTGAAGTTGATACATCAGGGAATGAGATATACCAGCTGCACTGCAGTAGTGGCTCTGACACAGCAGAACAAGTTACTCTACAATACTGCATTTTGCATCAAACCCCAATGGATATAGTGGTTCAGCAAATACATTATTTATGATATAAGCTTTGTGTATTATTATGTGTGATATTCTGGTGAATGTGTGCTTTACATAAAGACTCCAGTGACCAGTGCTTTCAAACAATGTATCCACTTTCACATTTATCAAGTAGGTTGATTCAGCTCGTCACCTGCTGATCTCTGACCCACTAATAATAATAATAATTTTTAATAATAATTTTTTAATTTTTAATTCTACAACTGTTTATAACTTGCATAGTTCACATTTCTGTATAGCTGTATATCTTATATTTCTGTATAGTTTTTCATATTTATATCCTGTTCATAGCCTGTACATAGCTTGTACTCACTACAACCTGTACATACTTATAGTTATAGAATATTCACAACATACTTCATACCGTGTACATTATAACATACCATAATAGACCCATTTCTGTAATATACTTACATATCTATATTATTGCTAATATATATTTGTAATAGATCTATATCATGGCTAAAGCACTTCTGGATGGATGCAAACTGCATTTCGTTGCCTTGTACCTGTAAGTTGTGCAATAACAATAAAGTTGAATTCTATTCTATTCTACTATAAAAAAAATTGTTTAAGAAAAGAGAAGACTGTGTGGTTGTTACTCCGTGCAGAGGGATGCTTTCATTAAGTGTGACACCAGTCTCTGTATGCTCTTCTTCTTTCTTGGAAGCAAGAGAATACATCAAAGCCATCACACTGGCTTAAAATAGAACAGCTCTGCAGATATAGAGAATGAGCATATAGTTGCTACCAATGGAATTTTTTTGATTGTCTTTTTTTTTTAAAGCATCCACTTCTAATAGGGAGAAATTGTCTGTACCTGCATTCCTTGGATAGAATATCCTGTTTTATGTAATGGGATAATTGCACCTGTGTAATCACCAGTCCTGGCCTCATGTTGCTGCATTGAACTGGTTCCTCTAGCCTACTTTGTAACTGTAAAAATTACTGGCAGACCGACCCCTTGTCCCATCCCCACTACCTCCATTACATATGTAATACGTTTCGATGTGTGAGCTAGCAAGTCATTGTTGGTCTTCTGCCAAATCGCTGTGCAGAATCTGAGGCTGGAAACGACTCTGTAGAGCGTACTGTGCTCACACTAGGCCTGGTGCATCCATCAAGCCCATTACTGTATCGATTATGGTCCTTGTCACTAAGTGAATGCTTTTAGACCACGCTGGTATTTGATCACAGATCCATCCCTCTAGCCTAAATCAAATCTACAAGGGCTGTATCTCCTACCTACCCTCCTGCAGTATGTGTGTGGGCTGCACAGCCTTGACTTTGTAGTGCCTTGCCCTCCATCCCGGGCTGGGAGCCTCGGCTATCTCCCTGTCGCTGAGCCAAGTGACCGTCTCGAAGTTGTCTCCGTTGGCCAGGGCATCGACCTCCGCGCTGTGGACGCCCACCTGTTGGAACTGATGCAGACCACCGGAGTGGTCGAAGTGGGCGTGGGTGGCGATGGCAAGCAACGGGTTCTTCCTCTGCGGGTCTTTTCCCAGCAGGCCTTTGGCGTCGATGTATTCAGGCAAGCTCCTTAAGCCCAGACCCGTGTCTATCACCACGTCCTGGTGTGTGCCGCGCAGCAACCAGATGTTGGCTCGGTTCTCCGACTGGTAGAATCGCTCCTGGATCCAGAAGATTCCGTCTCCGAGCGATTTGTGAGCGTACCAGTCGACTGCAGACATCCCAGTTCATTCGCTTGTCGAAGTAGGGTTCAGTATGGTGTCGTACTGTCAGGTGATTTATTGGGGGGAGAGGTGTAACTAGCCTACCAGCTACAGATGATATGTTTTCATTGAGGTTAATGCGATGGTGGCCGCAGACACACCCTTGTAGGAGGACACTAAGCTCACTGGGCAAACCGATAAACGACGGCAGCTTAACGTGGGTTGCAATTGGCTATACGCAAACCACGCCTCCTCTGTCGTCACGCAGAGGAGGAGCGAGTTAAAGCCACATTTACGCATGCTGACAGTGGCGTATGGCGTGTGCAGGTTTCCAAAGCCGGTGCTAGCTAAGCAGTATAAAGTCTACGCAGTATAAAGTCTAAGCAGTATCTTCATTAGGTTCAGCTGAAATGTATGTGATTTTTAAGAAGTTGCCGAGGGACAGATAAAACCGGCCAGAGAGGTACATTAAAAAACTGAAACATGCGGATCCAGTAAGAGCTAAATATCGCTGTCCAGCTCTGAAGTAGACTGTGCTTTTTTTTTACATTAGGCGCAGTATACTAACAGGCTTCTAGTAAGTATTTCAACATATTATACACGCAGAGTGCGTCTCTGATGCTGACTAAAGCTTCATCGCTGGCAGAGTCACGCTCAAGGCGATGGAAGCTGTAGTACGTTAACTTTCATCAACACGTGTTGACTGGAGATATGTGGACGTGTGTGTGTGTGTGTGTGCAGGAACAGAGGAGACCTGCAGCCATGGCAGGCAAGGGTCGTGGAGTGGGTGCTTTTACCTTCAATATTGACGCTCTGGGCATCGGCAGGGGCAACATGCCAGAAGCCAGGGTGGGGCCCAGTCCTCTGTTTCCAGTAAGTACCGAACACAGTCTTTTACACACACACACAAGCGCACACACACACACACACACAAGCAGTATGTCAGATTGCATTTCAATATAACAAATTCACCTCTAATGCTCAAAAGGGTTGAGGTCAAACTTTACTGGAGTGACTTTAGGAGAGACCTTTTTGAGAGAGGTAGGTGAAATTTGCATGGAATTTGAATAGCAGACTATATACAGTGGACGTTTACTTATAATAAGTTAAGGTTTATTCTTTGTAATGAAATTTACAAAACATTTTACTGCATTTGTATTTAAATGAAGGCAGATGAAAGTATATTCATCGTGCTCATGGCCAACATGTGTTTAAGAGTTATGACCCAATGAGTGTCTCTCACAGTGTTCACAAATAAGCACAAAGGGGGTAAAGGGCAATAATGTATGTGCTTATGTAAAATTCATGGCCAGGTTTTCATTGGCCGTGTGTATTCCCCAAGAATATGGCAGATATTTACATTCCTCTTGGATTCTGCCAGGATGCTTTATGGGGATTTTTTTTCTTTTAAACACAGTTTGGACTATGCTATGCTTACAATGTAGTATATTTTGACTATTCATACTGAAAAAGTTGAACACCTTTACATGGCAGTCTGAATTTCAGTTAGATTTGAAATTTATTTGCACTTGAACATCATTAATATCGGCATTACATCATCCGTACTTCTCCAGAACACTGATTTTAAACCAGTTCCACTGAAAGCTGGCGAGGATGAGGACTACATGCTGGCCTTAAAACAAGAGATGAGGGGAACAATGCAACGGCTGCCACACAACATCAAACCTCAGTCCAATAAAGCAGGTGAGGAGAGCGGTGCATTAGAAGCCTGACATCAGCTGAAATGACGCTGTAAGACAGTTGTCTGCTGTTGGGGAAGATAATGCAGCTTTTAGGAACACAGACTTTCAGTTAAGGTCATATCTGGGAAAGGGAGAGATGCAGATTAATGACAGAATATTGAGTTACTGACATCTCATCTTGCGAAACCACAGACTTCTTTTGTATGGATTACTGACTTTTTAGAACTCTCCTGTTCCACAGTTATCTAAATGTAACTATGTAAAGAAGTCAGTGTATTTTATAGGGGGAAGGGGGGATTGCTTATTCAGCAGGAGGTCTGTGGTGAACATGACTATAGGGAAATTATCTATGGAAAGGAGGTGCACCCAGTTCTTCTGTGCAGAAGCACATATACACACATCATGACCGATAAACAGAGAAGCAGCTGCTTCATATCTACAGCCTCTTCAGCAAGACTCTCATCCCACGGTTGGGCACTACTTCCACTGTCTTAGATAGCTGTTAGACATTGTACTCCATCCCAAACCTGCAGTAAAAAGAGAGCTGGTTGATGGGCTGTAGAGCAGAACAAGTATTAAATGTCTTTTAGCTTGATGAGACCAAGGCCTATTAACTTCTCATCAGTGATCATCATTGAAAACAACTAGTCTGTCTTTGACAGGAAAAAAAGGAGGATTTGTTTGACAGGGCTCAGTGTATTGACGCACAATGGGAGAGTTGAAGGAACTCTGTGAAGATCCAAGAAGGAGAATTGATCATTTACATAATTTGGGGAAAGTCTATTTGAGCTATTTTTAAACAATATCAGATTCCAAGTTTTCCATTTTCTGGAAGAAGATCCGAACTGTTACCCTCAGATGAGAGAAAATTGGTTAGGATGTTCACAACAACCCAAGAACAACCGGGTCACAAGTCTACCGTGAAATTGAAATTACTCAAAGACCAGCCGCTAAAGCGAGTTTTAATTCTTTTGCCGACCACAAAAGAATACCCTGCTCCAAAATCAACAACTGAAATTTGCAGCTGCCTACATGGCCAAATTCTCGTCTGTAAAAAATCAACAACTTCAAATTCACCTTAAATCCACAGCTAGACGGTTGAAGTTTTGGACACAACTGGGTGTTCAAACAGGAAAGTGTTCCCAAATGCACATCAACATTGGTTTTGGATTGGATAAAGCAAGACCAACATTAAGATTCTGGCTTTCCCAAAACCACAGCCTCAACGTTATTGAAAATTTGTGGACTATGCTTAAAAGTCGGGTCCGTCTGGGTGGGCGCCATTTAGTGTTATCAATCCTTTCATCCTTCAAGGACTGCCAAAATTAATCCAAGCTTGTGTAACAAATTCTTTGGGGTTTTTTTTGTTTTGTTGTTAGAGGCATTAATGGTGCATGCTGTACAGTCCTTCCACTCTATAAAAATAAGAGTTCAAAGAAATCATTAAAGCCCCGAATTACCATCACATTCATGCCATTGACTGTACGCAAACTACTGACCATGACAATGTGGGGTGAGGATCACGAGTAACACTGCAGTTTGTGTTGACGCACAATAGAGTAAGTGTTTTTAAGAGTATGACCTTTCTTTTGTTTACATGAAAACAGAAGTGGAGAGATACACCGAGAGATACCTGAAGCAAAGCCAGATTGATGACAATGAATGGACTCCAGGTACGTATGTAACACATCATCATGGGGTTAGGTGGAACACAAAAAAAGAGGACGATGATAACATTTTTCTTTTTTTAGACTGGAACCTTTTTCCAAAAGAACTGATGCCCAGAAGAAAACGACCTCGAGCTAAAACGGGTACATTAGACACAATATGTATGAAATGACATTTCTTTTTACTTTCTTTGTTACTATAAGAATAAAGACCCAATGTTTAACTCCAACAGGCACAAAGAAAAGTGCGAAGATATCACGCAAGGACGCAGAGAACATTCTGACCAAATTAGATGTAAGCTTCATTTAAATTTACTGTCAGTTCTCTCTCCACATCTTTGGTGTTTCTCGTGAGTAATTTGATATTAATGTCAGGAACTGGCAAACAAAGATGACCCTGAAAAATCAGATGAGGAGACTGAAAAGAAGCCGGGAAATAAGGATGAAGAAGAGGAAATTGAAGAGGAAGAATACGAAGAGGAGGATATTGAAGAGGTGCAAATTTCAAGATGTACTGCAAAATGTGTTACACATAATGATCAATATGTGCAAACTAGATCGGACATTGCTTTTTATTTGTCCCGTGTAGGAAAACGACTACATAGAAAGCTACTTCGACAACGGTGAAGATTTCGCCGCGGACAGTGACGATAATATGGATGCCGAAGCAACATACTGAGCGTCTCTCAAGCAAGGAAGTGCTGAAGTTAAACATAATGTGACTGCTTCTTTTGGTTAAATATTGCACATGAGTTGGGAAAGCTGTTCAGTAGAGTGGAGCGAATTCTTTTCTAATCAAGCTTTCGTTAAAGACTAATGTAAATAAGAAATACTGAAATATTTGCACATGGCAATAATTTATTCAAAATAGATTTATTTTTCATCCTCTAGTCAGGTTTCACAGGTTGAAAGGCACATACTGTTAAGAACACACAATGCTCTGTCATAGAATATCAACTGAACACAGTGATAAAATAAAAGGGCTACATAACAAGTCTAAAAATTGTACATAATTACAAATGCGTTATTGTGGGAATATTGTGCATTTTCCTCACCATGCTCTTATTTATATTTTTGATTCTTAATTGGGGGAAAAAAAAAAACCCACAGTTCTTTCAAGCAGGATGGAAATTCAAGAAAAATTCATTTTAACTCCAACTGAGGATCAATACTGGTAGTGTACATAAAAACTGATGTTCAGTCTTCAAATAAATTAATTTTAACTACACACAGTGGCAGCAATCCTAACTTTTCCAACAAGTACCATTGGAAAGTGCAATGTAACTAACATGGCAAAAGTTACAGCTCAAACAGCTTTTATACAAATCCACAAACTCCCTGGGCAGCATTTGTGTGTAACCGGCTAAAAATTCTCCAGCACAGCTGACTGCAAAGACACCATCTCGAGTTTACAGGAGACACTCAGACCAACTATGAAATACAGTCACTTTTAAAAAGGTTGAAGCAGCACAGCATTGGTCTATCAAACCAGACGTAAATCTTGCAAAGAGTTGGACCCACATTCAGTCTGTCAACTGTATGCAAATGGAGAGACGCAAGTTATGATTGTGGCCACAACTTAATCTTTCAATCCTCCAAAGTTATTGTCTCCTGTATAGTTCAGCCAGATGGATTAGAGTGATGTTTTAAAAGTTATCTGTAAATGGGAACATCAGGATAGTTCTATTAGTTCTCTGAGTTAGCGACACATTTTAGGTGCTATGCTATGTTTTCTCATTTTCTCTATCTCCACCGTCTCCTGCTTTGTCCGCAACCCGTGCCTGCTGAGTTCCATTAACTGCAAGCCTAGGTTGAGCATCTCCAGGAGTGTCTTTACTTCCATTCAAACTGTTGCCTTGTTGAGACTCATGAGAGAAGCCTTTCTGAGTTTGTGTAGGCATACCATGATGGCTAACGTCAGCTTTCACAAGAACTTCATAGTACAACAGATAAAAGATGGGTGTGACAATGCCGACAAAAAGCATGATTGCCACAGCAGTCCACCATCCCATGCCCCAGTCTGCCCCATAATAAGGATCCTTCCTCTGTACTGGTTTATATCCAGCTTCTCCTAGTAATGGCTGCTGCTGCGTTAAAGAGGACACAACCTCACTGAGGCCGCTCCGAGATGGTCCTGTGGATTTCACCAGCCGCTCAATGTCCTTGTCCTTCTCCATCAGGAATCCTTCCACGCTGTCGGTGGAAGAACAGGAGTCCATGGAGGATTCAGAAGGGAGAGAAGTAATGTGCGAGACCTGAGGCGGGTGTCTAGTGCCTGTGGGCGAGGCAGATTTGAGAGTAGCAGCGTTATGAGTCTCAGTGAGGACACTAAAGCGCCTCACAGGAATCTTAACTGAACGCAGGGCAAAAAAGTCCTGCTCTGTCAAAAGGTTGTTGGCACGCTTGATGTCCGCCACCTGGGATTCACAGGGGAAAAAAAATTATAAGTAATTAATAAGCCACTTACAATTTGCTGTCTGTTAAACCTGTACTTGAACTCTTTACATGCATATATTTAAAAAAACACTGATTATAATAAACTTTCCACAGATGTTTGTCAATCTCACATATCTTTTCTAAAAAAGTGCTGCTTTACATATAATAAGAAATCATTTTGAAACATTGTAGTGAAAACTACAATGTTTCAATCTGAAGGTGTTAGGTTGTTTCCAATTCTTTGTTTAGCAAGCAGTTTCAATTTCAGAAATTAATAACCACTATCATCATAAAATAAAGTGAGCAACAGCAGCTTACCTACCTACAACTCACCTGCTTTCCTAGACATATAAAGCAACAAAGCATGTTTCTGTACGTTTCCCACATAAAGAGAAAAGTGCAGGTATACAAAAACAAACAAATGAGGATTTCAGTCCATGCTGCAAAGGAGAGGTAAGACAAACACACAAATCTAAGTAAACACATACTGAGCAATGGTACTGTAGGGCGATGCTGTTCAGAGTGTCTCCCTCCTGGATATCTCTGGTCAAATAGATAATGTCATCCATTCTCTCTTTAGAGGTGCTCCTCCGGAGTCTCTCTCTGCCACGAGGCCGAAGCTCATAGCTTTCCCCATCCTCTTCTGACATATCATTTTCTGAGCTGTTGTTTCCGAACAGATAGGCATGCCCGCCATTGGCAGGCTGCACCATGGTGGCTGACTGGAATCCATAGTGCTGGCTTCTGCTGGACATTTTTCTTCACTGTTTTAGGCAGAAAGAAACAATGGCTCAGAGCACAGGCTGATAGACTGAATCAAGAAAAAAAAAACTTATTAGAGTGTGCATCTTAAAATCTATGGGCTATCCAACTTACTTAACATGTGCTACTGTAGTTCAACAGAATAGGCATTAACATTTTGGCTGTATATACAGAAAACACATCAATCCTGCTATGATCTGACAGATAAGACTGATTACACTGAATGTTTTAGTCTCAACCTATACCACTATGATCATGCTATATGATCAGGCTAGTCAGCTCTCAAAAAGGCTCAGTCAGATCAGATAAAGGTCCACCATATCACAATTGTGAAATAACTGCAAGGCAATACTATGTTATCAGTTAAAAAAAGAAGCCGTCTATTTTTGAACCAATGTAAGGCCAGACAACGAGTGCTATGTAAGCAGCATCTAGTGCTGAATGGTTTAAACAACGGGCACACCAGCAGTCATCTTCTTATTCAAGTACGCAAGCATGCGATTAACTAACCAAGCTCGTAAAGTGATATGGTGGCTAAAATTTAAGGTTAGCAACTATTTAGCTACGTTGTTGTCTACGAACAGCACAATGCTGCTACACTCTCGCTTTTCTCGTAAAACAACGGTGAGGTGTGGGACGATTATATTTCAGAAATAACTGCGTAAGTTAAGAAACACTTTCTTTAAGCCATTAAACAACTGTCTTAAACAGACTTTCCAGATCCTCTCCAACAAGAAGCGACCCATCTCCACGGACTAGGCTAGTGCTAACTGGAGTCCACATTTATTATATCGCCACCGCTAATGAGCTTTGTGTCCCGTTGATCAGCAGTTGATTAAAATGTCTTTAGGAAATCGTTTACAACTACCTTTGCCTGATAAAGTGAATCCCGATCCCTCAATTGTTCTTTCTACTGTCCATACTTCCACTGGATTCTCCTTGGTCTCTCCCTGTAGTCTGTTTGTTACGTGCCTGCTAACCGCTATTGAACTGCTACCGCTCACGCCACGTCAACACAATATTTACGTAATGACGCTACCACACGCGACCGCAGCGCAACCTTTATTTTTTTGCCGCGAGGTGGCGCCCAACGTCAAGTAAAACTGCGTGTGCGTGTCGGGAGTGAGAACGGGTTTCTCTTGGCTGGCCTGGAAACGCCTTGGTGTTCATATTCATATTAATATTCTTATTCTTCTATGACAAAAAAGTACAAGTGTTCATTTAAAGAAATAAACAGAGCAGTAAGAGATGTTTTTTTAATTTATGTTTTTTTTAATTTTCCTTAGCCGAAGGCCGTATCGTTTGTTTTCTGACCTGGGAGTTGGATAGTCCTGGCTCAGGGACTTTTTTGGACGCCCTGTGTCACTACTGCTTCTGGCCTCTTGTTGTCTTTTGGTGTGTTTGGTGTGTTTTCAGAGGTTTCACTCAATGTCATATTGTTCATTTTCTTAACTAGGAGTCGGATAGTGCTTGGCGTCCAACTTTTTTGGCTGCTCTGTGTCACTGGTGCTTGTCCTGGCCTCTTGTTGTATTTCAGTGTGATTTCAGAGCTTTTGGTATCGCTCGAGGTCGTAACATCCATTTTCTCAACTTGGTCTTGGATAGTCCTTGAAGAAGAACTTTTTTGGATGCTCCGAGTCACTGTTGTTTCTTTTTTCTCAGTGTCTACTCTCATCCTCTTTCTCTCTGGAGAGTAGCTCTCAGAGTTGTTTTTGCTGCCTTTGGAAATCTGACTGTATTGTCTTTTCAACACAGTTTTTTCTTCACAGGTTCGTCTTTTTTTCCTTCTTGGAGAGCAGCTGTCGTCACTTCTGCAATTCTGTGCAACATAATTCGGGCCTCGCTTCCTCTTGAGTGGAAGCTGGAAATTTGTTTCATAGAAATGATAGAGTTGTTTTATTTTCTCAGTTTACACCCATGTTCATATTCGCGGTAGCTGCGAGGTTAAACTAATGGCTTTGTTTATAAAAGTACAACAGTGTACTGTTGGCTGTGAACATCGAGCCTTTATGGGGGCTAAACCCTGCCAAACGTGTCTGTAAACAGCTAGATTAACCTTAAGCCAGATAGATTCCGTTTTGTCTTAACCTCTGTCACTATGAACAGGATATAGTTAATATAGTTTACTCTACTTAAATACAGAGTAAACTGTATTATTTATATTCTGAATTACGTGTCCGTTGGTTACCACTGCTGACCCTGGGATATACAGTATAGCTAAAAAATAGTCTAAGAGACTATGCATAAAGAAAAAGAAAAAAATTGCACAATTCTAATAAGTCTGAAAGTCAATATTTGGTATGACCACATTTTCTTCAACATAGCCTGGACTCTCTTAGACAAGCTTTCTTGTAATTTCTTAAAGTAGGCTCCAGGAATAGTTCTCTAAGATTCTTGAAAGACATTCAAAGCTCTTCTTTGGATGTTTTCTGTGTTTTTTCTGTTCCGGGTGTGAGTTTACTGCATGGGAAGTGTGTTTGGTATCATCGTCACACTAAAAAAATAAAGCCGGTGCCAGAAACACTCTTTCCGCACTCTTTCTGTGTTTCATGGTGCCTCAAATTCTGACAGCAGTTCATAACTCCATAAACTTTGCCAAGTTCCCCAACACCATGTGGCTTAAATGCAGCTCAAAAATAATGACAGAGCCTCCACTGTGTTTCACAGATGGCTGGACTCTGTACATACTGAAAATGATTTGAACCAAAAATCCGAACCAAAATGTTTGGAGTAATCACTCCGCAAGACCTGTTGCCACTGATTTTCAGTCTCGTTCTTGTGTAATTTGGCATACCTCAGCTTTTTCTCCTTGTTTTCCTTCCTCATGACTTCTTGACAGCCACCTTTTCCACAGACCATTTCTGATGAGGCTTTAGTAAACAGAAGATGGATCAATCTACGGGCCAGATCCATCTCGAATGTCCTATGTGACGTCTTTGCTGGATTTATTTGTCTATTTCTAAAGGATATGATTTTCAGATACTGTTCATCTGCTGTAGATAATTTTTTTAGCCTTGCCACTTGTTCATTTTCCTCAAATATTGGCTAAAGATAGAATTTGATGTATTTATTTTTATCCGTTACGTGTAAAGACAACACTGCTTGCTCATTTGAGTTAGTTGCCTGTTTTAACCTTGAATGATTCATAAATCAGTATTAAATGGCTTATCAAATATAATTCTTAGAACATGGACAATGTACAAGGACTGGGCTGAAAATGGGTGGAAAAGCAGCCAATGCCCAGAGAAAAACTTTAGAAAAGCTGAAGAACTATTGCTCAAGAGTACTTAAAATAATTAGTAATGTATAGCAATGAATGAATGGTTTCTATTATCATTACACATAGCGCAATGAAATTTGGTTTGGTTTGCTACTGAGAAAATAAATAAATGAACTAAATAAAAATACCTAAGTTAACCAGAATAAAGCGCATAAAATTTAAAAAACGAGGTGTAGCTCAAGACTTTTGCACAGTACTGTATATATTATTGTATAAAATTGTGTGAACTGGGACCAGCTGTAAATGAAATTCCTCAGGTGCTAATTTGCAAAGTTTGTGGAGCGTATAAGTGGCAGACGACAGCGAAGAGGAGAGCGGCTCTCCATGCCTGCTCAGCTCACAAGGTGGAGCTGTTGGCCAGCACAGCGTGTGCACGGTAGTGTGCGCCCTTCAGAGACAAATGGGATTAAAACATCTTGTCTCATTAGCAGCGACCGGGAGACGAGCTCGAGTCTCGGAGTAGCTGTAAAGTAAGCTTTCTGCTCGGACAGCAGGCCGTGTTTGTACAGTAACAACAGCTACAGCTGCCACATGGCCGCAGGAGCCCGGAGTTGTGTGTAGAGAGGAGCAGGTCTCACAGAGCCGTGTCCGTCTCGGCTATTTCAGCCAGCTCCAGTCCCGTTACATGACAGACGCGCTTCTACCCACGTTGTTCACGGAGAGCTAAAAGCTGCCGAGTGGAAGGTTCGGTGTCAGATAACACGAAACGATGCAGTTACCGGCTGCTGTTTGAGAAGACGTGGAGCCGAAGATCTTCGGAGCGCACACTGATGTTATCCACAGAAATAAACATTATAGAGCACAATATTTTGGACTGAGAGGTCAAGCACGGTGTCAGGTAAGTTAACACGATTCGTGTTGTGTGCTTTTACTGAGATTTTTCTGTCTGTCAGTGTGATTTGTGAGTTATGAACGAGGATGAGTGGCGACCAGCAAAACTTTACAAGATTCATTTCACAAAGAGCTGAAGATGCGTCCGATGTGGTTTCGTGACACTCTTGTATTACAGTCTGTCAGGACAATGCAGCCGTCTTGGATTTATTTCTCAGTAAGCCAGTGAGAAATGACTGGTTCCTCCAGCCGCTAGAGTCAGCGGTGGATTAATAGTGGGAAGGATAAAGGAAACAAATGAGTAGCGATACCCCTCATCAATTATGCCAGACAGCTCAAGCAGACGCATTGTGTAAGACTATAAGAAAACGATTAAAAGTGGTTGGCCGCTGCTAATTTCTTTTTGCCCTGTGCCAAAAATACCCCTCGGTGCAGCTAATAAAATTGAAAAGCTTAAATATTGATTCAGCGCAATCAGTAGATGAATGGCCGAGTAGCCCATTGAGGACGGAGACAAACGCTTCCATGGTTACATCCAGGATCTCCAGTGTGATTACTCCGCTTTGTGTGGGTTTTCGCTCTCCCACTGAAATAAAACAACAACTGCCACACATGGTGAGCCGGGGGACCTTCTCATAGACTGACTAATCTATAGGCTTACTCGGGCCATAAGTAATCTTGGCATACTTTGAGTTGCGCACATGTGCTGCTACTGTTAAAGAAACGAGCGGCGCCTTTAGCCCCATTGTGATACTGCTTCTTTTTTGGGGGTTATTTTACGCAGATGGCTCCATAATTTACACCATTTCGTGGGGTGGGGTTTGCAGACCTTAAATAATTGAACATCTCCTCCTGATCTCTAATTGATTTGACATGATGTCATCTTCGTGCGTCCTTTGCAAATCTCTTTTGTTGCCTCCTCTGTGGTGTGGCCAGCAGAGTTAAATCCTTTTTTCTCACTGGGGAGGAAGGGTGGGGAGCTGTTTCTGTATCCATTCAGCGTCTACACCTGCTCTCCATCAGCTGTTTCTTCTGTGAATCTTTGTAGAAATTAGTAAAATGATTTAATCAATTTTTTCCCTCTTTTTTACAAAAAAGCAGAAGTTGACAGGGGGTTCACAGTTTTATTGTTTTTAACCTCCTCTCTCCATTCTCATCATTAGAAAGTCATATGTCAGAGTGAGTTTGTTTTTGCAGATTGGGGTTCTCTAAGATCCTCACTTGCTCAGAGGTCAGGTCCTTTGTTTGTCGGTGTTTATGTCATTGCCTGGCAGGGGTCAGCCCCCATTCGCCTGTGCAAGGGGCTGAATGTGATTCACTGGGCGGAAACTGTTTTACTGCTCGCCTCTCTTTCCTTCTGTCTCACCTCCCTAATGGCTGCACGGTACAAAGGGGGGCAGTGCCATAAACAGACTATTCATTGATGAAAGGTGTTGGACTGTTGCACGATGCAGAAAGGATGAGACCGATATTTTGTGGGGATGAGAGGTACTCTCGTTTTAGTGTGTGGGGATAGAGCGAAAGAGTGGATGAAGGCACCATGCAACAGGCTACCCCCACCCCCACACACCCCCCATTGAATCACTTGCTTCACAAGATATGTGAAGCACATCTTTTGTCTATCTCTCTTTGATTGAATGAAATTTGTGAAGTTTAATTAGAACAATGCATGACGTGAAGGCTACTATCTGTGAACAGATGCCTGTGATCTTTTTGTTTGCTTTTATAAGCAGACAGTATAAAAAAAGTTATTTTGTTTTCATCCACAGTTTTGTGCTTTACTAAACCATCTTTTTGCATGGTAAAAACACAGGATAGTAAAGAAATGTGTAAAGAAAAAGAGTGGATTCAGTCAGTATAAGTTAAAACTATTGTTTTATGGTCAGGTTGTCATTTCATCACCTTGAAAGGGCACCGACTTTGAAATGATCACGTCTTTGAGGCAGATTCTTATTCTTCACATTGAACTTGGCGTTATGCAAGGATCTGGTGTGAAACATGAAAACAAATTCCTAAAACAGTTGTTAGAATAAATGTTTTTGGGTCAATTTAAAGCTAAAATGCGAAAGGTTTCTCCATACCTTTAGTATGGAAAATATCCAAAAGACATGCAGCTCAATTTAACAATGTTTCCACTAACAATCAAAGACATGACTTTTTGGATTTAAGCTTTTTCTGTTTTGTGTATAGTGACTGGATTACAGTAATGAATAGGGACAATTTCTGACCCTTTGGGGTGAATGTCCTCAAGCAGGAGTTTTTTCAAATTGAACTCTTTCAGTTTTTGATATTATTCCAGTGTGTTTCATATCGATTACACAACAGCTGACACTGTTGGGAAGATCGTTTTAATAGGATTTTCATCTCCCTTAGGAGACATTGAAAAGGTACAGAGAACATAAAATGCAGGACAGTATTTGATTAAAAAAAGTAAATAAAGTAATCTGTACCGTTCATATTTGATGTTGAGATCTTGTTGTATGTCCTTTTGTCTAATTAACATTCAGCATGCTCCTTCTGGCTTCTCAGCAACAAGTGAGACTGGAGCTATGCTAACTTCAAATGTCGCCCTGCTTTTTATCTGAACGTTGATCATTATGTCTAATACTTCATTGCCTGGTCTGGTGAAGCAAGCTTAAGATTTTCTAAACTGACGAATTCGAGCCATGAATAATTGTCTTGAAATGTTCTCTCTCTGTTTTACTGTTTTGTACTTTGTTTTTAAAAAGTAATTTGACAGTTGGTGCTTACACACGGGAAACAGGATCATGGTTTAGTAGCTGTTGTCTTTGGAGCAAAGACACAGGAAAGCGGTGGCCTTTCAGTGATGTCCAGCAATCCTGAGGTCTCTTTAGCGGGCCTAACCAACCACATATTGTTCCCAGTGAGAGGATTCTAGTACGGTCACCGCCGTGAGCTCTCAGCTGTGACCTCTACATCACATTTCACAACCACAAGCTCATTACATACACACAGACACATACACACACACACACACACTTGTACTTTTAGAGTTATTGTTATAGTGTCTTCTCTAGGAGCGAAAAGGAGACCTTGTACTTGTTCATCTGTTGACCATCTCCATTCCAGGACTAAACTTGAACCTGACCTTTTTGGTGGTAAATCAGATAGATTTCAGAGCCTTTACTACCTGCTGTTCTAACTCTGATGCATGACCAGTTCTTCTAAAATGTTACAGAATTATCAATACAAAATATCAGTTTCGTTTTGTAGTATTTACACTACATTCAATTTTAGCTACATTTCTGTCCTTGCAAGTTCAAGCTGGTCTGTTTCTTTTTATCTAGCAAACAGCATGGAAAATCTGTGCACAGCAAAATTTCCTCAGATATCAAAACATAGGGAAAAGTACAAGAACATTCTGGAAGGCTGTGTCCTTTGTTTCACATTAGCTTGGCTAGACTTTGTACAAGTTAAATGGCGCTTTAAAGAGTACTGAAAACATTTTCTTTTCACCAGTCATCGAATAATGTGTTATTCCAAAGCTCCACAGATTTATTTGATGATTACATCTTTGGTTGTTCATTATTGATTCCATTCTTTTAAACATGAAGACCCCACCTGGATCCCTTTGTCTGGCGATAAATCCACACATGTTAAAATCCACGTGGAGCCATGTGGAAAGCATCCTGTGGTGCCCTCCGCCCGTGGTGCAAGTCACAGCCTCACATTTGGCTGGAAGGACATCATGGATATCTAACCTTATACTGTTTCTTTTTTGTAACCATCATTTCTCCTTTCTAATGACTTTACTTGTGTTACGTGTGTCTGAGTCTGAAAGAGCGTGAAAAATAATGAGCTTCAGAAAAGCAGTGTCCTGTCCATATAAAACAAACCGATCGAAGTAGGTCACCAATGTTTTACATCTACAACTCCTGGAAAAACGTTTGGCATCACCGCTCTTAAGTTTTTTACTTTGAAGCACATACACAGACCACAGATATGATATAAAAACTACTTTTGTTTGATTGCTGAAGATTCTGGCTTCGTGAAATTCATGTAAAACAGGTCAGTTGTTTTTCAGATTAATGACATTTTTTTCCAGATCAATCTGACAAAGAAATTATGCAAAATAATGTTGGCTGTTCCCAGTCACCCGTGTCTAAAATGTCTAAAAAGTATGGGAACATTATAAAAGGAAAATATACTAGTAGATGGAAGATGTCACAGCATCAGGAGAGAAAACTCAAAGCAATACTGTATGTCTTGAAAATGCACAAGTAAACTGATGAAAAGCAAATGGGGAGAAACATGTTTGTCTGTCATATACCTGAAATGGGCTGAATGAAATGGGATTTACATACAGAAAAGTGAAACTAAAACCAGCATTACCACCTAAACAGAAGAAAACAAGGTTACAGCGGGCTACAGGGAAGTGATCAAAGACTGCGTTTGATTGGTTTGGTTGAAGGTGATGTTTAGTTATGAATTACAGGTCTGCACTGGCCAAGGAGATTATGCTGGGACTTTAGTCTGGTGTCATTCCAGTGAAACATAACAATGGCACGCTTTAATCTGTCAAACAGTATCCGTGCTAGCTTGATACACAGTGTTGCTTTTCATTAATGAAGTCCCTTTTTTTTTTTTTTTTTGAATGAACATCCTTCAAGTGTGGTGATTCCATAGAGTTTTTTTTCTTTATTTATCCACTAACCCCCTAGTTTCTGTGTAAGACCCATCATTTTACATTTCATTTGCACAAACTTTCCTTCTTTGTTTATCTCTCACTGCTCTCATTGCGCCGCTGTTCATCAAGTCAGAAGAATTCCTCGTATGTTTGTGTGGTTGATCCAAGCGTGCCCGAGAATGTGGTGGGTGTGGTTCTTTACGTAAAAAGATGTGCACATCCACTTTCTCTCATTGTCTGGGTATATGTTTAAGAAAAGGTTTTTAAAAAAGCCAGAAAATTGTCATGTTTTGTTGTATGGACACTGGACAGGACCCACAAACATGAACACGTGCACCGTCTCAAATTCACTATTACAT